CCTCAGGCTTGTTAGCAATCACCTTTGTCCACAAAGCCGTGTTGCCGGCCCACCCATTGTTTTCTTTTTGAGCATTTCCTCACTTTCTGCTCTGCAAGTTGCTCCAGCCTCAGCTTGACTCTCCCGCTCTAATCCTGGACTCACCGTGTCTCCTTTTGCTTGTGTTATACCAAGCCTGGAGAGCTAGGCCTTCTCAGCTCATCCAAGGAGGTGTGTGTGTGTGTGTGTGTGTGTGTGTGTGTGTGTGTACACATATCCTAGCTGGTGTGTGTCTGCACACCTGTGATTATTTCCACATGTGGCCTCCTGCATCTTTGTTAAGCTAACCTTGAGTTCCTGCTGATGCCTCTAACTCACATCCTCCTGGGTAGATAGATACACCCTCCGTGTTCACCTTGACCCCTCCTGTGAAGGGAACCTCGGTCTCTGGCTGTCTAGAACATGAAATACCAGAATTGATGCCCCCTCCCATAGGAACAGCCTTACTGGTGGAGCTTCCACCATGTGCAGTCCCTCTGGGTTCAGTCCTAATGTCACTCACACCCAGCCTCAGCTCAGGCCACCACGTTTCTCTCTGCCCTGCTGCTATGCTCTTGGGAGTGAGCTGAGCAGCTTGCCACATGGGTTTGTATTTGTTTTTGAGACAAGGCCTCACTGTGCTGAACTCTTGGGCTCCAATGACCCTCCTGCCCAGCGTTCCAAGTAGCTGGGGCCACAGGAGCTGCCCGCACACCTGGCTTCCTTTAGGAGCCATCGTGTTTCCTTTTCCATGAACATCTTCCTTATCCTTTGCTGGGTTTTAAATTTCTTCTTAAGGATTGTGGACTCGGAAGGCAGAGTCCCTGTGTTTCCGTTCAGCTTTGAGGAGTGCCCCCCTCCCACACTGATGCTCTCTGACACCGCAGCACGCACCTCGTGCAAACTGCTTCCTGTACTTGGGCCTGCAGCACAGCCCCTGGGAGGGTGTCCTCAGAGGAATGACACAAGTCAGAGGGTGCACAGTCCTGATGGCCACCCTCACTTCTGACACCAGTGCCAGTCTGGAGTCCCCATTTATGCAGTAATTTGCCAGAAGGATTAAGAACACAAGAGCTTCCATATAGGAAAAAGCTGCAGGTTGTTGGCCTAGGGATGAGGTGTGGGCAGAACCGGGAGGGCCAGACAGGGAGCCTCTGTTGTCCTGGCCCATGGCATAGAGACAGTCTCATTTTTCCAGCACTGATGGTGACAATGCACATGGCACACTGCCTTGGTGTCCAGGTCTCTGTACAGGTATGGTTGCCCACGTGGCTGCCATCAGTCTGAAGCCCCTGCCACAGTCACTTGGCACTGCATGGCCAGGTCCCATGTTTTGCTCTGGGTGCAGCTCCTCCCTCCTTGTGCTCTTAAGACTCCAGGCTGGCACAGGCCGCCAGGTGGAGAGAAGCACATTGATGAGTCGGGATGTGCTGGGGCTTGGGTGTCACCTTCCAGCAGCAAGGGCAAAGGCTGGTGCTCTTGCTGACGAGTCTAGATTTCTTCCCCTTGTGCCTGCCGCCTCTCTCATGGGCCCACCTTCCACAGGGTCACTGGGGCTTGTCGCCAGTGTGTCAAGTCACCACCACTCCCTTCTGAACAGGTGTGTGTCTCAAGCAGATGGTAAGGCTGTGCAGATGTGTCTCATTTACTCTGGGAGAATAAAGATCCCTTCAGTGCATTTTCCTCCCAGCTTCTGCCCTCACTTGACTGTCTCACCTGACACCCTTTGTTCTGTTTCCATACTTGGTCCCCTTGAGATGCCTCTGTCCTCGCTGAAGTCCTTTTCGATGCCTGGCCTCTGGCACCTAGTACAAAGTCCAGCTGGAAGCCAAGCATGGTGGCGCATGTCTTTAATTCCAGCAAAGAGGCAGAGGCAGGAGAATCTCTGTGAGTTCAAGGTCAGTCTGGTCTACGTAGTGAGTTCCAGGTCATCTGAGGCCACAGGGAGACCCTGCCTCAAAAACACCAAAAACATCGGGCTGGAGAGATGACTCAGCGGTTAAGAGCACTGACTGCTTTTGCAGAGGACCCGGGTTCGATTCCCAGCACCCACGTGGCAGCTATGAACCGTCCTTAACTCCAGTTCCAGGGGAATCCGAAGCCCTCTTCTGACCTCTGCGGCATTGCACGACACGGGTGCACTCACATACATGCAGGCAATATACTCATACACGTAAAATAAAAATAAAAAAGACCAGAAAAAACAAAATTCAGCTGGGATCTTTGTAGGAACCAACCTGAGAGGTTTGGCAGCTGCTCTGACTTTGAGCATCTGGTGGTATCTGACAGTCTGTGTCAGCAACTTGGCATGAACATGCTATCTTCGCCTTAGAGAGTGGGTATGGTGCCACAACTGCCCAAAGTGTAGAGAATGAGAAAGTACAGAGGGCATGTCCCTGGACAGGACTCCTGTGTCAAACCTCACCCACCCAGGGCCCAGGGGCCATTGCGGAAGGGGTAGAAAGACTTTAAGGACCAGGGGTAACAGAGTTTTCCAGGCTTCTGGGAACTTGTTCACATGAACTTACAGCAGTGGTGACAACATGCACAAGACCCATGCAAACTCAAACCAGGCAAAAACCCAGCATAGAACTGGGGAAATAGACAGGAGGCCCCAACCTTAGCCAAGGAACTATTGGCAGCTGATCACAGCTGGGTGAGGGAGAGCTGGTCTTCCTTAAGGGAGTGATGCTAGACAGGTTGACGAGACTCCAGTGGATGAACTCACACCGAGGGACATCTGGGTATATGAACTTGACAGTCCTTAACATATATGACATAATGCTTGAAATCTGGTGGAGGGCGGCCTATGAGAGTGCAGATGGGGGGGTTCTAAATATGATCAAGATTTATTGTATGAAATGCATAAAAATTCAATAAAATTATATATGTATATATATATACGTATATATATATATATACATGTGTGTGTGTGCATGTGTGTGTGTGTATTTCAAAAAGGGGTGTACTTACTTATCTGCCTGTGTGGCTTAGCGGCCTTGATCTGCATGAGGCCACTGGACCTCTTCCAGGGGCTCAGGGACCACTGCAGAAAGGGTAGAAAGATTGTAAGAGTCAGGGGTGGTGGGTGACCACAGGAAACCAGGCCTCTGTCCCCTGTTTCAGAGAGTAGTTTTTGTTCTTGTTGTTTTGCTTTTTAAATTTTTATTTATTTTTTTAATTTTATGTGTATGCATGTATTGCCTGCATGTAGGTAAGTGCACCCGTGTCATGCAATGCCCGCGGAGGTCAGAAGAGGCTGTCGGATCCCCTGGGACCGGAGTTACGGACAGTTGTTAGGTGCCATGTGGGTGCTGGGATTCGAACCCAGGTCTTCTGCAAGAACAACCAGTGTTCTTACCCACTGAGCCATCTCTCCAGCCCCTTCAGAGAATAGTTTTACGGTCGGTTGTCTGTAGCATGAATCTGTGAATGGCTGGTTTCTTGGCTTTGTTTTTTCACTCTGTTTTGGTCATGTTGTTTGTTTTCAAGGTTGCACCTTTGGCATGGGCACTGCCGTGTCAAGTCACCCTGATGGTCTGAGCTGATGTGTAGCATGGGGAAGCAGTCCCCAGGTTGCTCCCCCACTGGGCTCTGGGTCCTTGTGCTCAAAATGTTTGAGGAAGATTTAAACCCCAGGAGAGCAGGAGGAGCCTGCTGGCGGGCACTGCGGCTCGCTCGTGGTCTGCAGGTGGCCCATGCCCACTGTGCTGGTTTTCTCTCCCCTTCCCCATGTATTTCCTTCCACCCACTTGAGATTAAGCTGTGGACAGTGTTGTGCATCCTCCTATGCTTCAGCCCCTAGGCACGTCTGCCCCGCCCCCTGGTTGCTTGGTGAGTCATACCAGGATCCCAGACACTCATCAGTTCACAGCTGTGTCTATTTGGATTATCTTATTTTTATTTTTATTTTTTTGGTCTTTTTGAGACAGGGTCTCCCTGTAGCCCCAGCTGACCTGGAACTATGTAGACCAGGCTGGCCTTGAACTCAGAGATCTGCCTGCCTCTGCCTCCCAAGTGCTGGGATTATATTTTTGGTTTCTTGAGACAAGGAATCCTGTAGCCCACAGCTAACCTCAAACTCACCAGGTAGCTAAGGATGACCTTGAATTCCTGATCTACCTGCCTCTGCCTCCCAGTTGTTGGGATTACAGAAGTGTTCCAGTATCCCTAGCTTTAGATTTTTATCTATATTTCTTTAGATACGTATCTATATTTCTGTATTTATTTTTGCATTTTGACCCAGGATCTTGCACTCTGGGCTGGCCTGGAACTCGAGGTTCTCCTGCCTCAGCCTCGGGCACCTCCATGCCTGACTTTGGGCTTATGTGTCAAGTTGCTCTGTTTTTGTTTCTTGAGACATTGACTTTGTTAGAATTCAGGACACTGTGGTACCTAGTGCAGGGAGATGCCCAGGTCCAGCAGGATAGGTGAGCAGGGACACAGGCCAGCAGATGTCACCAGGTCCTGTGTAGAGTCCTCCTCACCTGCACAGGTGTGTGCGCTCCACCTCACACAGCTAACTGTTGTGCTAGATGGTGCAGATTGCTGCTTCTGTTCCCCAGTGCCCTCACCCTGGGCCCTATGGTCCGTATAGTGCCCTTATCTCTGTGTTCATCCTCACAATGGCCCCACAGAGCCACTCTTGGGTGATTGTCATCTGATGTAGGGGTCAAAGGTCAAAGGGTCCCAGGTGTTCTAGGCTCACTATTGATGACAGTGAACGGTTCCTAGCCAGGCCCTGTGCTGCTTCCTGGGCCCTCCCCCACTTCATGTGCTCCAGCAAAAGCTCTCAGAGGCCAAGACCTTGGCCCCCTACCCACTGATGGCCAGGTCAAGCATCACACACCCCCCTTATCTCCTGAACCCAGGGTACCCCTCTGTCCCTCAGTGGTTTCTCTAAGACCTGGTCTGGTGCTGAGTGAGCTAGTGAGTGTCTGAGACCTTCTTCACTGAACAGGCTCTTTTCTCCCTTTCTGCAGGAAGCCACAGGCCCTGGGGGCTCCCGGGCTATCAACAACCTTCGAAGATCTAACAGCACCACACAGGTCAACCAGTCATGGATCAGCTCCCCCAGGTAACCTGTTGCCATTCCAGATCATTCCCACCACCCTCAAATAACCCTTGACCCAGGGGTAACTTCAGCCCACTGTCTCCTGCCTCCCTAGCTCTTCCTCCAGCTCTGTCAACAGGAGCCCTTGGTGCGCAGTGAGCTCTGCTGACCTTCATGCGGTCTGGCTTGTGTGCCCCACCCTGTTCTCTTGAGCTGGAAGGGTTAGGGGCAGCCAAGAGTGCTTGTCCTGGCCTGCCACGTGTGTACTGGACGTTGGAGCCCAGCCCTTCTGGATAGAACACATCCTACCTGCACCACCACTTTCTCTGGGGTTAAAGGTGTGCACCACCAAGCCCAGCTATAGTCCCTATTCTGAGATGGGGTCTGTGCTCCCCTTTGAAGCTCCGCGTGCAGCCTTTATTTACTCTGTGTTTCCTTCTGCTTTTTGGTGCCGCCACTAGCGCCCAGGGCTTCTGTAGCCCATGACTCCAAACTTGCAAATCCCTCCTGCAAACCAGTTCCAAAGGCCTCTAGACCACATGGTCAGATTTGTCTTCGCAGCAGCCTTCTCTTGGTGCTGATTTTCTGCATCTGTTGACTTTTTGCATAGCTGTCACCATGGCAGTGGAAGCTTGTGGTGGCTGTCAGGAAGCAGAAAGAAGTGTGCTAGGATCAGAGGCCAATGTAGCCTCAGAGGCCTGCCCTGCTGCCCTATTTCTGCCAGCTAGACCCCACTTCCAAAAGTTTCACAGAGTCCAGAGCAGAGCCACAAGCCGGGACTGAACCATGGGGACGCTGCAGGTGTAAACCGCGGCCTGCCTTCATTGGGGCCTGTGTCCCGCCTCACGTCCTGTGTCCCACTGTGCCAGCCCCTTTCTAACGTCTCTTCATTCCTTGTGCTGAGAGGCTGGAGAAGAGCAGTGCTTGGTCCTCCACTGTCCTGTGGCTCCTCTGGTCCTTTGTTCTTTGTGACTTTTCCATGAGCTCCATCAAGGAATGTCACTATAGTGAACTGGTGGGATTTTGAGCAGGGGTTGCATTGACTCTCAGGGGTCAAACTTGGGAGCCGGGTGCCTCCCCACCCCCTGGGTCCACTCTGTCCTGAACCTTGTCCTGTGACTTCAGATGGTCTCTGATCCCAGTCTCATGAAGTGTTGGCGTACATTCTGCCAAGCTGTCTGGGGTGTCCCCTTCTGTGTGTGCTGGGTCCTCTTCGTTCTGATGGGATGCCATGACTGTGCTCACAGCGTACCCCGCAGGCTTGCTGGATCTCAGCATTGTGGCCTCTTTCCTTATCTGTACGGCAAGTTACCCGTTCCTTTTCACACCCCTGCCTTGCATTTTGTACAAGGTGAATGAGTTTGTTTGGGGCTGATTCTCATCTCTCTCTGTGTGAAGGAAGTGTCCTGTTGTAGGTGAGGGTGGATTTGGTGGTACGGTGAGTATCTGTCCTTCTGTGACTTGGCACATGGCTGGTGATGCTGGTGTTGCCTTGGCCTGTCGGGGTTGGTAGGTGAGGCCTGTAACAGAGTCTGGAGCCTGTCAGTGTTTTAGTCTTGGCAATGGTATGTCTGGGTCAGGAAGAGGCAGAGCCTCCTCAGAACTCCTGGGCACTGGCTGCCCACTTGTGCCTGCCCTTTCACCCACAAAGTGTGCTGATGGTTGTCTGGAGCCAAGGGCTGCTAACTCAGCTGCTCTTCGTTTACCTGCTGTGTTGGGGTAGAAGTCGTATGCCATAAATTTCACCTATTTTAAGAATACATTTTGAAGATTTGTTTATTTGTTGGTGCTAGAGCTGGAACCCAGGCCTTACATATGCTAGACAAACACTCTACCTCTGAGCTGCATCCTGGCCCATTCAGTGATATTTTTTCAGTGCAAGCAGCACCGTGGCACATTTAGAGCGTTCTTTACACACTGTCCACTAAGCCTCTCCGTGCCCTGCCTCCAGCTTCTACCAGCCACCAGCCTGTGTTCTGTCCCTGTGGAGCTGCCAGTTCTGGACATTGCTTATTCCTGGAATTGAACCATATGTGGCGTACTGCGTCTGGGTCTTCCACTGAATGTTGTGCTTTCAAAGGCCATCGTACAGCAGCTTACAAATGTGTCACTCCTGTGTTTTGCTGGACAGCGTGCTGCCCTGTGCACAGACCACACTTGTCACCAGAGCCACTATGGCTTCCCATAGGGCAGTGCAGCAAGTGCTCTTAGCCCATTAGATTCAGACTTTGGAGCAAGACACATCCGTAGCCATCTGAGGTAGCTTCTGCCATCTGACTGATCTTCCTTGTTCCTTCTGACTCTGAGCTGACTGCTGTGTGCTCTGTCTATAGGGGGAGGAGGGTTGTAGCAGCAGCCGGTAGCTACGTAATGTAAGGCCTTTGATCCCTAGACTTGGTGTACCTACCTGTATCAGTTTGTTCTCCACTGCTGGGACAAAACACTCTGACCACTACCAACTTGGGGAGGAAAGGGTTTATTTGTCTTACATCTCCCAGGTCACAATTCATCCAGGAGCCCAAGGTAGGAACTCAGGGCAGGAACCTGGAGGCAGGAGCTGGAGCACAGGCCATGGAGGAACGCTGCTTACTGGCTTGCTTCCTTGGCCCCTGCTCAGCCTGCTTTCTTATCCAACACAGGACCACCCGCCCAGGGGTGGCACCACCCACAGTGGGCTGGAACCTCCCGCATCACTCAGCAATCAAGAAGGTGCCCCATGGACATGGCCACAGGCCAGTCCAATAGAGGCAATTCCCCAGTTGAGGCTCCCTCAACCCAGGTGTGTCAAGTTGACACTAAAGCTGTCCAGCACACTGGACCCAAACTCCCTGAGGCCCAGATGGGAACTCCCCAGGCCCCCAGACCTCATCTCTGACAAGTAGGGTTGTGGGTCAAGGCTAAGAAACTGGGACCAGAATTCCGCATTGGTGTTAGGCCTTTCCTGTCTTCCTGTGAAACATAGGCCTATCTTCCTTCCTGGAGTTGGTCTCTCTAACAGTTGACTTTGTGTGCCAACCTTTCTTGGACACAGGCCAGCAGAGCCCACTGACTTCCTGACGCCCTTTGAGGGCAGCACCAGTGGGAGAAGGAGGGTGGCCAGTCTGAGCAAGGCGTCCGGCGAGAAGGGAGCCACATGGAACGTCCTGGTAAGGGTGTCCCCCTTACCGGGTGTGAGGCAGCCTCGAGTCCTGGTCTTCATGCTAGGATCACCATCTGGTTCCCTACTGTCATTCATGCCTCTGCAGAGAGAGGGGCAGCATCCTCAGGCAGGGTGCATCTGGGGGTCAGTGAGCTTTGATCCTGACATTGCAGTCTCCTGGGTCACTGCATCTGCTGGTGTTGGGGTGTGCACCAAGGGTCCCGGGCTAAGGACTGTCCATGTAACCCACAGGATGACCAGCCAAGGGGCTTGGCCGTGCCAGCCAGTGTGCAGAGCCCCAGTGCCCAGGACTGTGCCTTGGGCCTGCGAAGGAAGGACTGTACCCTGGCACCCAGCTTCACGGCTAACAACAGGTACGGCCCTGCAGTACCAGGCCCGCCCGCCACAGGGTTTTCTGGTCCACTGTCTTTGACTTGTACATGACTGGATCAAGCTGCTTTGCAGTGAATGAAGGAATGAATGAATGAGTGACTTCTTCCCCCCACCAAAGGCTGGAGGCTGCAAGGTAGTGTTTTGCACAACTGGACCTTTGGTCACTATTTAAGGGAAGATGTGCTCTTTGTTCAGTGACCTGCTGGAGTGTCCGCTGCCTTGAGTTCCTCCTCCCTTGGCGTAGCCTCTCTCTCCCTCTAAAGGCCTGAGTCACCCAACTGTGCTCTCCAGAGGTTTCAGGCCCAGGAGGCTCGCTCAGGGTCTGCTGTCCCTGACCTGGAAGGCTCAGTTTGGAGGTTCCGTCTGTGGAGCAGACTGTTACCTCAGTGCTCTTAGCCTGCTTGCCAGGGGTGAGCCTCTGTCTGGACAATGTTGGCCAAGAGTGCTTGGCCATCTGAGTGCAGGCCACGGGTGACCCTGGGGTGCTTGGCCATCAGAGTGCAGGCCACAGATGGCCCTGGGGTGCTTGGCCATTGGAGTGCAGGCCGTGGGTGGCCCTGGGGTGCTTGGCCATCTGAGTGCAGGCCACGGGTGACCCTGGGGTGCTTGGCCATCAGAGTGCAGGCCACAGATGGCCCTGGGGTGCTTGGCCATTGGAGTGCAGGCCGTGGGTGGCCCTGGGGTGCTTGACCATCGGAGTGCAGGCCATGGGTGGCCCTGGGGTGCTTGGCCGTTGGAGTGCAGGCCGTGGGTGACCCTGGGGTGCTTGGCCATCAGAGTGCAGGCCACGGGTGACCCTGGGGTGCTTGATCATTACCATAATGTGCACTTGAGGGTTCTTTGTGCCAGGATCTGTGCCCTGACAAATATAGTCGTGACCTCCAGTCTGACCCCTTTCCTTCTCCCTGGCAGGAGCAACAAAGGAGCCATGGGCAACTGTGTGACCACCATGGTCCATAATCACTACGCCTCCTCAAAGAAGGCACCACCTCCCAAGAGCTCCAACCAGACAGCTTCCTCCCTCAAGTAAGGCCTGCGTGCATGCCTGCGGGAGTGTGTAGCCTTGGGTGGGCCTGGCATGGTACAGAGCATCTGCCTGTGAGGATGCTGGCCCTGTGGTGAGACTCTTGACCCTCAGAGCTGGGCCAAGGCAGTTTCCCGGGAAGAGCAAATGGCTGACTGGGTAAGCTCAGGGCTCTGCCCAAGCTGAAGCCTTGGAAGGAAGCTGCTGGCCACATCCAGAGCCAAAAGGGTGTCACGGTTGGGGTGACTAAACAGAGCAGAGGTGCCCTGTGCCCTCCCAACACACACAGGTCTTTGGTCAGAGTGGGTGGCCCTCAGGGTCTTGTCTTGAGAACCTCCTTCTGTTTTTAAATGTAAAATACATTTACTTACTCATGTGCCAGTCAATGGGATCTCAGGGTGCAGGTAGTCCTGGGGACCAAGAAAGTGGAGCAGAGGGACCAGCTTCACTGGCTCAGTAACCCCACCTGGGGCTGTGGGCAGGGCTCTTGTCCTGGAGTGGAGCCATGGCAGAGCTAGGCTTCTCTATCCTGTCAGCAACATCATCAAGGCAGCAGCCCGTGAGGGCAGCGAGGGCAGTGACTTTGGGAAGCTCCGGAAGAACTTCTCCAGTGGCAACCACTCAGCTTCAGTCACCACTGAAGGGAGCACCGCTGGCCTGCTCAGGCGGAAGGAGGTGACCGAGGAGGAGGCTGAAAGGTGACTGCACTTGGGGACACAGGGCCTACGACTCCAGTGGTAGGACTGCACTTGATAGTTGTTTTAAACAGCACAGATGGAAAGACCACACGTGGTGAGACTCTGTATCTGTAATGCCAAGAAAAGACAGATTACAGGGGCAGAAAGGAAGCCATGGTTGCTCAGGACTGGGCAGGAGCCAGGGTGCCACAGGGAGTATTCAAGGGTGATAGGGATATTCTAGAACTGGATTGTGCATGAATGCACAACCCTGCAGCTTTGCTGAAAGCATTGAATTGTATGCTGCAAATGGGCGGATTTTATAGTATGGTAATTATACCTTAGTAAACCTGGTAATTAAGAACACATTTAAGAGAGAGAAGATAAAAGAGGACAAAGACACCTGTCGGTGGGGCTGTGTCCTTGACGTGTGCCCTCTGGGGCTAGACGGTGGGCATAGGCTGTGGTCAGGACAGTGACTCCTGGCCAGGCCCCCTTAGTGGCGGAATAGCTGCTGTAGCACTGCCCAGATGGCCTCAGAACTTGTACCCAGCCCAGCTGTCCAGCCTGTGACCAGGGCTGGGTCTAGGAGAGCAGTCCTGAAAGTGAACAGTGGGACAGAGGGTTCTGGGATGTGAGGCCAGGAGCCAGCAGCTCCTGAAGCTCCATCTTACTGCTTTGTGTGAGTCTTGAGATAGATGGGCCTCATTCCTGAGCCAGGGCTCCATGAGCACCTTTACCAAAGGGACCCCTCAGTCCTTCCAGTTAGGGTTGAGGGGTTTTTGTTTAATCAGTTTCTTCGAGGGGTTTTTGTTGTTGTTTTGTTTCCTTACAGTTCTGGGATGGAACCCAGGGCCTTGTGCGTGCTTAGCAAGAGCTCTACAGCTAAGCTGTGTCCCCAGCCCATTGAGTATAATTATAAAATGCACAAGTGTTTACAGTGGTGTTTATAGACATGGTTAGCTTGGCATGGTGGTACATGTCCGCAATCCCAGCATTTGGGTGGTAAAGACAGAAAAATCAAGAGTTCAAGGTCATTCTTAGCTACATAGAAAGTTTGAGACCAGCCTGGGATACATGAGACTCTGTCTTTAAAAAAGAAAGCATCTGGGTGTGGCAGCTCATGCCTTTAATCCCAGCTCTTGGGACATAGGTGCAAGCAGATCTCTGTGAGTTCCAGGCCAGCCAGGGCTACATTGTGAGACCCTATCTCAAAAAACAAACAACAGGGGCTAGAGAGATGGCTCAGCAGTTAAGAGCACTGGCTGCTCTTGCAGAGGACCCGGGTTCAGTTCCCAACACCCACATGCCAGCTACAAACCATCCTTAACTCCAGTTCCAGGGGAATCCGAAGCCCTCTTCTGACCTCTGTGGCATTGCACAACACGGGTGCACTCATATACGTGCAGGCAATAGACTCATACACATAAAATAAAAATAATAAATAAAAAATTTAAAAAAGAAAAAAACCTAAGGAAAAACTGGAACTCAATTTGGACTTTATTTGATAAAACATACTGAACTGCATGTAATCTTATCTGTGACAAAGTTAAAGCCATCAGATCAGTTAACCAGTTGAGATGACACTGTAATGAATGGTGGTCAGCTGAACCTCTTTAAAAGTGACTGTAAATGGGCAAAGGAGAACTTCTGGAAATGGGGAAATGCTCCACATTATGAGATG